ATATTGTATGATTCAGTCCTTCGATTACTTGTAGTTTGGTTGGAAGTCTAATTAGGGCCAGATTGAATACCGTAGTCGATAATACCAAGCCTTGCGGCGTACCTGCACTGCCCAACTCAATTTCTTCCGAAACTAGGCCCCCTATCATAATCTTTGCCTTCCTTCCCGTCAGAAAATTACGCACGTAATTGTGCGCCCTTTGTCCCAGACCTAGATCGTTCACCCTTTTTAGCACCGTTGCATAGGTTACATTATCAAAGGCCTTCTTCAGGTCTAACCTTAGAATGGCCTTTGTCGCTGTTCCTGGATTATCTATAATCTGATGTTTTAACTGTAGCATTGCGTCTTGCGTTGACAGGTTCCTCCTGAACTCTATCATTGTGGATGGAAGCGCATCCCGGTTCTCGAGATAGGTAGTTATCTTCTCTAGAATTACGTGCTCCATGAGTTTCCCCACGCAAGATGTGAGAGATATAGGTCTCAAGTCCGCAATCTGGAGTCGCTTGCCTGGCTTGGGTATTAACACAATTTTTGCCGTCTTCCATTGTTGCGGAATCTGTCCTGCTTCTCATGATTTGTTAATAAATTCAGTTAACTTAGTTATGGGCTCGTCATACGAATTACGTAGCGTTTTGTTAGTTATGCCATCTAGTCCAGGTGCTGATCTATTGTGTTTTTGCAAGGCAGCCCTCACTTTCGCCTCACCGATCTCGTTGTCTAAATCATCGATTGCCAGCCCTGTGTAATCGAGGTGTTTAACAGGAAGCGCTAGATAGATTTACGTTTTCTTGATTTCATTCGGGAAATTCTACTCTGTACCTTGATACCTTTGCATTAACCGATTAATATTGTGCCTTTCTGCCAACTTGTTTCCATCCAGGCTTAACAAATGTCTAAGGATGTTTCACGTTTTCGCCATTCCTACTTAGATGTCTATGTCATTGCATTTTTCCTCCCACTGTTGTCTGCACAGCTGCTGGGCGTATTGCTCTATATCCCTGTTCAATTTAGCTATCCTTCTACAAATTGTCCGGTTGAGCTTTTGTTTTTTCCACCTCTGTTGTAAACATTAATTAGCTTCCCACATGTGGAGAAGCTTATTGTCTACACATTCTAGCTGCGCCTCCGCTGGCACCGTTTGCGTAGCTGCCTCCACGTCTCGTTTTAACGTTTCGGTCCATTCCTCCATACTCTGTATCAATTCATGGGGCTCCTCTCTGATGTTTTGGAACTTGACCCAGTCGTCAAGTTTAAGTTGTCTGCCTTTTGCCTTCCGCGGCCCAGCCCTCGTCCTTATTTCAAGTATAAAATGATCGCTTCCCAAGTCATGTTGGGCATGGGTCCACTGCGGGTCCAGTATGTTTTTGGTGAATGTCAAGTCTGGCGTGGTATCCGCGCAAGCGCTAGTACCTCTTCTTGTAGAAATTAATGGATCGGTCACGAGCGTCAGGCCCTCCTCTTTTGCGTCCAACCACAAGTTCCTGCCTTTCTGGCTTTTGATCCTGTATCCCCATGCAACGTGTGGAGCGTTGAAATCTCTTCCAATCACTAGCGCCCGGTTGCCCGTTATCGCGAGGGTTTTGCTAAACAGCGTGCAGAATTTACGCTTTCTGCATTTAGGACTGCTGTAAATATTCAATACGAAAAGACTGTCCTCTGTTTTCCGCATGGGTATAAGATCGAGAAGCATCTGATTTATTGCCTTAATTCCCGTGTAATGTTGCACCACCGCGTGATTTCGCTTAACCAACGTTGCTAATAATTTTGTCTCCCCATCAGCACTGCCAAATTACACATATCCCAAAAATTTGGCCAGACCATGCGTTTCTTGCACGATGATAACATCCGGGGTGCTGGCGTCTTTAAGATGTTGATGCAAATTGTATAGTTTTCGATTATATCCTCGACAATTCCATTGCCAAATCGTCTAGCTATTTTGTCTGTCCATGGCGGCATTACAGGCTTTCTGATCCCTCGGTGGGCACCGAGGTCCTAGCGTACGGCAAGCAAGACGTCTTAACCGGGCCCCAACCACTTGACAGCGATCCCCATATTGCTAGCTTGGCGTCAAAATCAACCACCATTTGCTGCCCTTTCTGCAATATTGTCTTGCCTAGAGCCTCAATTTTTGCCTCTATGTTTGCCTCAAATCTAATTTCTTGTTGTTCCAGCGTAGTTTGCAATTTCCTTTCAATTCGTTCTATTTTGGCTTCCATGATGTTTGCGAATTCCTCCTGCCTTTCTTGAGCTGTCACCTCTGCTTTGAGTTTCATTATCACGCTTTTAAACGGAGCGTTCGATGGTTTACGTTTAATGGGGGTGAGGGCTGCAGCCTCTTCGTCCATTGATGCGGCTTTTTCCTGCGTTACAACTTGTGAGGTTTCCTCGTTGTGTGTAACCCCTCCGTTTTTCAGAAGTTCATTTTCTTCACTGAGTTTTCTTATCTCATTCATATCATTCAGCACGGAATCGCATTCAGCACGGACTCTCAGCGCAAGCGGCGTCCTTTTTGGGTAGACCCACTAGAATGCACAGAGAGCTCGACCCATTTCAGTGTGCGGAGGCTTCTCTACAATATCTAATCTACATATATATATATATATATATATATATATATATATATATATATATATATGATGAAATAGATGATCAGAGTTTCTTCCGGCTACCGTAATAAAAGTTATAAACTTCGAGAATAGTGCAGTATAGGAAACAAAACAATAAAATATTTATTTAATCCTAACAGTTTCGGCTGGTGGACCAGCCTTCTTCGGAGGATGTAAGTGAAATGATACAAGTATCATTTCACTTACATCCTCCGAAGAAGGCTGGTCCACCAGCCGAAACTGTTAGGATTAAATAAATATTTTATTGTTTTGTTTCCTATACTGCACTATTCTCGAAGTTTATAACTATATATATATATATATATATATATATATATATATATATATATAGTCCCCAGCCGTAACTTTGGCAATAAAGCATCGTTTTTTGTTTGCTCGTTCGCTTTTTCTGGTGACTTATATATATATATATATATATATTTATATATATATATATATATATATATATATATATATATATATATATATATATATATATATATATATATATATAAAGTTTCAGGAAATGAAATCTAGCAGGAAAATGTACCAAAATATTTCAATTTCCAATTTCACGATCACATGAACGTCTAAGTGCGGATCTTTTCAGGGGAACCAGGCTGTGGTATCCTCACATATGTTGCCTGTTGCCGTATGTTGCGATTGTATGTTCTCATCGTCGCTTGGCGGAACGCAGGCAAAGGCGCATACAAAGGGGCTGAAGAGCGCTCGCTCAAAACAGACACCTTATTCCCTTAGTTCTGCCAGCGCCTTGAAAACAATAACGCCAGCAAAACTACATATAGCATAGTCAGCTGAAGCATATTTAGAGCACACTCGCGCTAAACACAAGCCTTCTTCGTCTTGTGTTACGACAACCTTGATTAGGATAATAATTTCAGTGACTAATGCCATGACTAGGAAAACACGACAATGCAAGCCACACATAAAATTGGAAACCGGAATAAAACGAGGCATCGAAAGAAAAAGAAAGAAAATAGGAATGACAATAGAAGGAAGTAGAAATAAAGACTTGCAACAAAGCACAAACTGAAAACGAGAACAACAGTGAAACGTGAAAATAAATGAATGAGAACACTAAAGAGAAAAAAGAAGGCTGCCCAGCTTCACACTTTTCCGAGGCTTCGCACCACAAAGGCGAAGCTGCCTTGATTCAGTTTCGTGTTGTGTGGGCCGCTCTAGGCCCACTTGCCTTGTGCGAAAAATGAGCTTCTGGTGCAGTATTCACAAACGGCACTCTCTGACTTATGTTTCTTGAGGTATGCGTCTGGCAAAACTACGCAGTTTGCTTTCCCTGTACAAAACCGCAGAGTTAATTCATTTGCCGACGCACCACCTTTACTTGTTATGTCTTGTGCTGCATCATAGCACCACACGAAAGCCGTTATCATCACTAGTGTCTCTTGGCATCGATGACATGAGTAAGAAAAAAAATCACCCTGGCGTGATACATTTGCCGTATGGCGTAAACGTGTGATGTCACAACACTTGAAGTCACCCTATGATGACGTCATCACATGACATCATTGCTTAATCAGAGGTAGGTCGCTCCAAAACGCGGTGCAAAACTACGTTAACTGTGGAAATCCTTAGGCGGGTTGCGTAGCAGGATCAATACAACGACTGAGTATCGCTTTCACCTTTGAATACACTGGATGTGAATGCATAATGGACCGTGTGATCTTTTTGAAGTAAATTACGACCAACAGAACTAACCTCAAGTACGCTTTTACCCAAGAGTCGACTTTCCTTTTTTTCCGCTGCGTACGACAATCAGTCGCTCAGCTAGCCAATGATGTACGAAAGGCAACCTTTGAGTGCTACTGAAACGCAATTAAGGAATACGCTTTTCTTATTGCCAACAAATTTTTGTCAGTAGGAGCTTGTTAAAATAGAGAAGCATCCTTGAATAATCCTATACTCAACTTCTGCACTGATTGAAATTCAGTGTGGGACGGCTCAAAAGAGGCGTCTGACTATATCCCACTTAAACTAAACAATATGCGTATTCAGAAATAAGAGTCGCTGTACACGCAGTTGTAAAAACTGCGCTAAGCAAGTGCGTAGAATGTGTTGTCTCAAGAAATACACACGGGAAGTGTCTTATAGACCAATTTAGAGCACGGTGGCACGTTGAGAACCTATATCTCCACCAAAACCATGGTAACGTGTTGGACAGACATCTACAAGATCATTCCACCGCCATGCCGTTTTCTGCACATCCCTCATGTGAGAGCGCAAGAGAAAATGAATAAACACTTTGGTGCTGAACTGTACTTTGCTTTTCTCCCTTTCCTGTTTGATCACGAGCTGCCTTTTCCTTGTAAATGTTCGCGATTCACTGGATAAACAATATCAATTTTTGATGAGCAGATGGTCGGCACCGACGACATATTCAATAAACTCGGACCATGGCACTACCCGTTGTTGGCCTTCTGCTTCCTGCGGGGTTTTCCTGCTGCCTACCACGCCATGGCGCCAACGTTCACCGCGCCACAGCTAAATCACTGGTGCGCGAAGCCTTCACAACTGGCAAACTGGTCCACGGAGCGGTGGCTCGAAAATGCAGTGCCCTGGGAGGAACGTGAGTTAAAGCGGCTTCTATTTTGTAGGCACCAACGCCTTGAGTGATGAAAAGCAATCAACACGCTGACAAAGCCCTAGCGCTAAGTTCGGCTAGTTCGTGTTATGAGTCAGCCAAGTCATTAAGTATCCCGACTAGGCTACTAACAAGGAAGAAGCAAGCGCACTGGGGTGCTGTTGCGCTCTCCTAAATGTGTATTGCATTTGTAGCAAATTCAGCCAAATGTCGCTATCCTTACAATCAAATATCAAGAAGTCGACGAGACGAATTTCGGCACTTTTGGACGAGACGAATATTTGGCACTGTTTCTTGAAGATAAGCCTTCCATCGCAGTAAAAGTGAAAAAGTGCTCTACAGGATGCTCTCGAAAAGATGGCAACATTGTAACGTAGTACAGTGTGCTTTGTAACATCTATGACGTGCCTTATTTAGCCAAAAGATGCCGGCGTAGTACATGGACAGCTTCCTTCATGAATATGTCCTTCTAAAACTAATATTACGCTAACTACAGTTTATACTGTTGCGTTGCAATGGTACTCCTTATTTTCATTACTGTGTAGATATTAGCTAGTGCACATGGCCATGAGCTTGCAAGCGTGTGTACAGAAATCGGTGTCTTTTTGTGCGTTGTAGTAAGTCGATTAAGTTTTGGCACCAGCGGGTACATAATTCGACCTAGACGTGTAGCTGCACGCGCCTTTGTAGCGCGAGATCTGCGCTTCACGGATCATGCCATTCTATTTGCAGCTGAAGCATTTACAAGCTTACATAGTTTGATGAATTTTCAGAATCGGAAAACACTAACATAGAAAAAAATTGGCCCCGTATCTACATGTTACACAGCGAATGTCGCCGAAAGACGATAGTTTTGCGTCTGGAGAGATTGAACAATACGTTTTTTGATGTTCTGCGCGAGAAAATCGGTGAATGGTATTTCGGAGGTGCTGCGTTAGAGTTCTTCGAACGCGGAGCGGCGGCGAACGAGCACATCAAGTCACGTGACACGTGAGACATGAGCGATATCTGGCAGTTATCCTGTAAAAACGTCTCTGAGGTGATAAGATGTAGAACGCAAGGCGACGGGTAGGTGCCACCACCGCTGTCGTCTTAGCAAAGTGTTAGGAAAAGCTTGCCGTTTCGTGCAAGCGTTGCATGGCTAGCGCAGCGTTTTAAAGGCTACGATCCTTAAAATTACTTATGTATGCCTTTTCTAATAAAAAACACGCATACATAATATTGACGTTTTGTTATGGTGCCTCAGCTATGCGCAATAATTGCTTTTTTACTTGACAATCGCACGAGTATGAACGCTGAACCTTGAGCAATATTGGTGGGCGCTGCAGATAGGGTCGGCCATTTGGCGTATCTTTTGGTCATTTTTGTGCCGTTGAGGCAGACAAATGTACAGACAATGTATAGACAGACAGTCAGTGAAACAGACAGACAGACCAAATTCTTTGCGTCGAAGGTCCCCAAAAGAGACTATCATCTTTAAAAAACATTTACTCTTCAGCCTGTTCGATACCTTGTGCTTATTCGCATTGAAACCAGCATGCCATGTGTCGCGTCACGCCATCTGCGCGGCTGCGCTTTCCATTGTTTTGTTCGAAGTGATGGGGCCACTTTGGTAGCTCGGCTCTACTGTGGCGTCACCACTGAGTCGCTTTTCTTTCCCTGCCATGAAGTCACCAACTTCGCCTTTTCGTTGAGCCAACCCGCGTCCTTCGTTGGAACTAAGTGTCCATTACCGCAGCGTAAGATATTCCCCCCCCCCCCCCCTCCCGCACTTTGCAGTATTCGCTATAAACTGTGCCACAAAACAACGCATCACTTTGCCTACCTCGCACAGACTCAAACGATGGAACTAGTCTCAGCATTCGTTTCGGGTACCTCCTGTGATGTACGCGTCCTCCAAGGCTTGGTTCGTCGTTCTTCCATACATCATATGATGTTGTTGACATGGGCAATCTGTGAAGCGCTTTTATTCATTGTATTCCGATTTTCAAACACAAGCAGGTTTGGCATTAGGAACTATCATAATCATCAATGCAGGTTTTTGCGTAGGGAAACCTTGCGAAGTTTGAGTGCTCGTGGCGTCTTTGTCTGCTTGCGTTAAACAAATAATTGGGTCTGATGAGCTAAGGTGAGTCCCTGTAGTGAAAACCTGTAGTGTGAGTGCCTGTAGTGTGAGTCCCTCTTGCGAAAACACCCTTCATCAAAATGAGGCCTTGTGTCTTCCAGGAAAAGGATCTCAGAAACGAAGCCAGTGCGAGATGTACGTCTACGAAGAAGGCGCCGATGGCTCAATCACATTTTTTAACAACAGCCGAGTGAAGTGTTTGGCCTGGGAGTACGACCTCGGTGACAACACATACACCCTAACAGACACGGTGAGTTTGCTACTGAAAATTGAGGTAACACGTGCACAGCTGCAACAGAGCCTGTAAGGGTCGAATTATTTGTTTAAAATGCAAGTACTCGTTGATTGAGCCTGAGAAACAGGTTTTGCGGAAAACCGCCGCTTTAAGAAATTTTTGGGCCAGCTCGAAGACAATTAAATACCTAGGTACTTGCATACTCATGTCGCTTTTTATAGGCGCTTATAGTAACGGTGTATTTGAGCTGGCCCCATGAAAAATGGAACTTCTTGTGGTATATACCATGATTGCAGTTTCAGTAGTGCTCATTCAGCCATCTCTTTCACAAAATCACACTCAAGTACGTATTTCAACTTCCGTCATGTCACGGTTACAATACGTGCTAATGAACTGGCAAATGAACTGTTTAGGATACCCATGAATAGACATCAGTATCTCCACTTCGGAGGGTCTCATGCAAAGGTGTGCAAGATGGCGATCACAGATTCCGACTTCACCGACTACTGCACCGAACTTAGAGATGCCTATCAGGAAGAAGAATATCTACCTGAAAGTAATGACGACCGTGGTATTGACCGCGACGAATTTTTTTTTATTCGAGAGCAGAAAGATACGAATCGACGGATAATTTACTTTTAGCATTCGCCGCATAGGTTGCAAACATTAACACCTTTTTCAGAAGCACCGCAACTGAATATCAAAGAACGATCGCCTTATCAACAAAATATTTTCCAATCCCGCGCATGTGGTACATAGTACATAACGTGCCTAATATTACACTTATGCCACACATTGTTGTGATAGGCGGCCCCCAAACATGTACGAAAATATTATAGTCTAATAATTTTGGCATACGTTCGGTAACTATGAACATCGGCACTCATTCGATATGAGTATAAGATAACTGTATCAATACACTGTTTTTACAAAAAAATATTTCTTACGCAGAGTGCGAAGTAATCGCAAGAATAAGGTCACATTCCACATCTACACACTGCAACTACCGTAATAAAAAATACACCGAGACAGCGGTGGTTTTGTGCAACAAACATGATAGCTTCAAAAGCATGTAAAACAACAATCACTCTGATGAAACGACCACAAAATGCAAACGAACAACAAAGGTGTAGAACAAATGAAATGCGCAAATGCACTAAAACAAGCAACCGTAGAATATGAATAAAAATAACACCTGCCACAGTGAACTAGTGGTCATAGTTCCCGACTGTTGACCAGCAGGTAGCGAGATCGAGTCCCGTCCGCGGCGGCCACATTTTCGATGGAGGCGAAAGTGCTCGAGGCCTGTGGACTTAGATTTAGCTACATGTTGAAAAAGCACAGGTGGTCAAAACTTCAGCAGCCCTCCCACTACGGCGCCTCTCACAATCACATAATGGTTTATGAATTTATACTCCGTATAATAAATTGCTGGAAAAATAACGATTCATTGAACGTTAACTGCGAGAAAAATGTACAGCTGTGGCCACATCTGTTGTAGAGCGACCGACCAGCTGGTGTTTGTAAAGTCCCTTAATAGAAAAAGTAGCGACACTCTCCTCCATATTATCTCCAAAGTGTCCAACCTTCCTCTCCAAAGTGTCCAACTCTCCTCTTCAAAGTGTCCAAGCCTCCTCTCCCAAGTGTCCGAACCTTATCTATATCCTCTCCCAAACAGCCACCGGGCGGGCGCCGGCACTATACCCGGCGCGCCACTTTCCTATCAAGAATGCCATGTCACGCTGATAAGGCGTGCAACGTTGAGGGCCGCTAAGTGCCGGAACCGCGGTAGCAACGCCAAGAAAGTATGCGAGATAGAGACAATAATTGTAGTTGTGTGGCAAAGAAACACCCTAAATACTTCATTTTTAAAGACGATGGTCTTTCTTAGGGACCTGCGGCGGAAAATCTTTGGCCTATCTGTCTGTACATGTGTCTGTTTGTCCGCCCTAACGATACCTCAAACGGCACCAAACGGCCAACCCCATTCGCAGCGCCCACCAACATTGCTTAAGGTTTAGCGTTCATAGTTGTGCGATTGTCGAATAAAAAGCAATTATTGCGCATATCTGAGGCGGCCATAACAACACTTCAAAGTTTTGTATGTCTGCCTGTATACTAGAAAAGGCACACACAAGTAACTCTAAGAAATGTAGCGTTTATCGCGCTGTGCTCGCAGTGCAACGCGATGCTCAAAAAGGCGTTTCCAACGCTTTGCTACGACGTCACGGTGTTGGCACCTGCCCGTCGCTTTGCGTTCTACACCTTATCAACATCCGAGACTAGCGCGCATCTTTCTGCGCGGGCTGCACGCCTTCGTTTTCGAAAGATAACTGCCAGATGGCGCTCGTGTCTAACGTGCCTCGATGCGCTCGTTTGTCTCTGCTACACGCTCGACGCACTCTAACGCAGCGCCTCCCGAATACCCTTCACCAACTTTCTTGCGCAGAATATCAAATAAACGTTTTGTTCACTCTCTCCAGACGCAAGACTATCATCTTTCGACTATATATGCGGTGTAGCATGTAGATTTGGAACCATTTTTTTATTAGCGTGTATACGTTGCAAGGTGGCTGTGGGAGCGCCTGCTAAAATAGTATTGCTTGAGCGCAGCTCAGTATAGCGTGAGTTTTTTTTAACTAGATAGCTTTAAAGACTATGTTTCGCAGAAAATTCGGTCGTGTCGGCGGCGTCGGCAGCAGCGTCTTTCTCTTGAATATCTCCGACTCCTTCCTTTCATGACACTTGATGTGACAAGAGCGCTAGCGTTGTGATATCGCGGTGGTTCCGTGGTCATAGGTTTGAAAAGATGCGTGTAGATATAATAGCAAATGTTTGAATATCCGCTTAGCAACTTTGTGATCCTCATTTATGAATTTTCTCGATTATTTTTTTAAACTATTGTCTTCATGATTTACCCAAGTGCCATTTCTCCTGGAATTGTTATGTAAAACAGCTAGTAGGACCATAAAACACTGACAGCTCCAGCAGATTGAGAGAGCTGCAAATGGTTATTATTTTGCTAGTTTGTTGACGTACTTATAGAAAATATCTAGCGCTGACGAAATAAATTCGCACTAATGGTAAGGGCCATGTGCAATCGATTGCATAGCAGCATTAAAATAATTCAGACTGCTCAAGTGCCGTTTTTATTTGACGTGCCTCCTGAATCTTTGCACGAGAAACATACAGAGGCGAAAAATTGACATAAACAAAGTGAAATGAAAAATGCTTGGTCAAACGTTGTTGCCAAATAGACTTTGAGAGCGCTAGGTTAAAGAAACACGCTGCCTTTCAACCATGCACATTATAATCAAGAGAAAAGATTCAAATATTCTACCGTAGACCGAATACCACGGCACGCATACCAATATTTTTACTTCCACACTTACTCTCTGCTGTGTTAGTGCGATCTGAGAAGCGTTCTGAAATCTGCATTCGTACTCTCAAGAACATACGAACGACTTCTGGCAATATGCTATGGCAAGAAGAGAAAAATATTTGCACGCACACACTCGGAAGTATCATCGCTTCAACTGCGGATAAGCTCACTTGGTTGTATTGCAGTGCCTCTTTGTTTGCACGGAAAAAAGTTCTCCGCAACTTTTGTGACTTCGATCACACCTGTGGCGGGGCTGGTGAGCGACACAGGTGTGGCGTAGAAAAGTTATTCATCTGAATTAGCCTGCAGCTAGCGGCACTAGAGACTAGGAAAGCCTTGCAGTGTTCGCAGTTAAGTCTCTGTTATTTTCGATACAACATACACTGCTACATAGACTAGAGACTCTCTCCTTCTGTGCTCAAGTCTAGGATGTTAGAAGGAGCAGTCGCAGTGGCCTCTCTACTCTGTTCTTTCCTCGCATTCAAGCCTACGAGCAAGAAGCTTTCGTCGTCTGAGTAACTGCTATGGGTACTCGGCTTTAAAAATTGAGCTAATGTCGTGCTCCGAAGGCTACACTTGAATTCATAGAAGCGTGGAATGGGGTTTTTCGCACGCAAAGTTGGAAACGAGTTCTGAAGTCCATCTTGAGTAAACCTACTAATTAAAACATACCGGTACTCGTATTTATTGGTTAGCATCTCTGGTGCTTCGAGAGCAGAGTGTGTTGACAAAAATATGCCTGTTTGAACAGCCTTCTATACCAATTTTCTCTGCGCACCAACAGACATTTTAGGAAACAGCTACCCTGTCTCATTCTGAAATCATACGCTGTCTTCACAGGCTCCTTCAACTGCGCTGCTAAAGGCGAGCTTGGTATTCCTAGATGTTAGCAAGCGAAACCAGCGAAAGATCACTGCGACAGACCAAGCCGTCGAAAGCGCAGTCTTCGATATGATTGATTTGATTGATTGATATGTGGGAATTAACGTCCCGAAACCACCATATGATTATGAGAGACGCCGTAGTGGAGGGCTCCGGAAATTTTGACCAACTGGGGTTCTTTACCGTCCTCCCAAATCTGAGCACACGGGCCTACAACATTTCCGCCTCCATCGGAATAGCAGCCGCCGCAGCCGGGATTCGATCCCGCGACCTGCGGTTCAGCAGCCGAGTACCAGCAGCCGAGCAGCCGAGTACCAGCAGCCGAGTACATCAGCCTGACTACTAGGACTAGCATGCTCCTGACACACCACGACAGAGCTCGAAACTGCCGCAAGGTGTCACCCCACAGAGCGAAAAAGCTCGCGCTCTCACACAGAGACGTGGCCACGGCTCTACAGCAAAGTATGCCGAAAGGGCTGATACAAAAAAAGGTTTAAAGCTGCATGAGAAAAATTTAAAAAAAATGCAGTAGAAGTACGTCACAGTCATTAAAAAAGCACAGCTCTTGATGCTGTAGCCTGGATTGGCTTATCCTTTTTGTGGTCAGGAGTATGAGCCTTACATTGATTTTATTAAGCATACTAAACCGCTATAACTTCGTTGATAAGGAAGGGATCGCAGGCTTATCATTGATGGTGAGATCTGAAAGTAGATTCCAATATCGTTACTGCTTCTGAATAATTTGTACGCTAACGTGCTTACATACTTTTGATGCTCAAAAAATGTATGTCGTGCACATTCATTATTTCCCTACCTGCAAAAAAAGAAAAACAGGTCACATTTTCCGATGTTTTGTCTGCCTTTCATTGAATGTTTAGAAGTGATGAAAACTATCTCGTCGCTTTTGGATTAATGAATTTTTTATACCTCGCGCCTGCAATGGTAAAATCTAGCAAAAAAGTGCTGGAAAGGTTCCTTGTGGCGATACACTTGTCGAAGACAAGCTGACACCAATTGGTGTTCCCATTCTTTGTCTTTTCATGAACAGTTCGATTTGGTGTGCGATCGTGTCTGGCTCCGTACAGCGTCGCAAAGCATTTACATGGCGGGAATTATGATTGGAAATACAGTGTTTTCCCATCTGTCTGACTGGTAAGTGCCCATGTTACTTCTTTGTTCGAAAATTGTAAGTCCTCTGAATTTACGACACTAGACATTTTGGTACAAGCTGAACGTTTTTCCTTTGTGCTTTGCCGTTCTACTTTTGTGCATGCTTTTGTTTCTCTTGGTAGTACTATCTTATAATTATGAAAGGACTTTGCAACCCGGTTTGAAACACTTCACAAAATTTCTGCTTACGCAGCGTTACTGTATACTGGGTGGTGTGGCGATGAAATGCTGGAATCGAATGCGCCTCTAGTTTGTGGAAGAGATGCTCGCAATATTGTTAATGGTAGTTCGAAGGACACCACTAATAACCATAAGTAATTGAAAGACAGAACAAGTGGACCCAGGTTTAAGACAATACCGCTCATCGAGAAAAGACGTTACACAAGAATAACACGTGACTTCAGTGCGAAGGCTGCTCAGTGTTTTCGATGCCTTAGCATAATTCATGTGAATAGGGCAACTCCCACGCAGATGTTAAGCAGCCTTTTGTTGTTTTTTGTCGCTACTCCATAGACAAAAAACTCATGCAAAGGTAAATTTCAGGTTTGATGAAAGATAAGCTCGTAGAGCTCGCATAACAGCCCACGCTTTTTGAGATACAAATTGAAAAATTCGATTCGTGTTGGCTCGAACAAGTAATTCATAATGGTACTAAAGGCAAACACATACGATGGACGAGAGACAGAAGGAAGCAGCGCTTCGGACATTTGCGTTTAGTGTCGGTCGTCATAGAGGTCGTCGCTTTGAGTTTTTCTCTATGTGAGGAAGCTATACCCGCACAGTGTTCTTGAAACTACGCGGCGTACAAATACTCGCGGCCACTACCTTCGGTGGCATGGTTACCAGCCACTTAAACTCTCAGACCAATACTGCATTTTCTCACCAACCAGATTCAAGAACTCCGTCATTGACTCGTTTTATCGATACAACACTGGACACATCGCGCAGGGAAAGTCTCTTTAACTACACCCACACCATCGTCAGGATCACATGTGGGAGCGTATACTTTCATAAGGACCACTGCAATTAGCTTCTTCACCTTGTCGAATTTTCTTGATGGTATGTGACGCCGTCACAATGAACGCTATATCACACTTCCTAGGTCTGAAAAACTCTGTACCAGTTGTTCATGATGCACCCTAATTCAAAGTAACAGCAGTGAATTACTCGGCACTTCGTTTTACTTTGTGTGTCCGTCCTCCGATGACGACAAGCCCCGACGGCGATATTTTTAACGCAATAGCTCGTATTTAGGAAATTGCGGTGTTGATGACGGCCTCTTTAGTTGTGGGCGAAAAATAATCTTCTTCTCCGTGTGACCAAGAAACCAAGAAAGCTGCAAATAAAAAAAAACAACTTTGGGTACAAGTGAGGATCGACGCCGGTGGTCTGTATGGCAAACATGTGCTCTAAGAGTACCATGCTATGCCTTTGAAACTGCTCCGAAAACAACAACAACAACAATATTGATATGTGGGGTTTGACGTCCCAAAACCACCATATGATTATGAGAGACGCCGTAGTGGAGGGCCTTGGAAATTTCGACTACCTGGGGTTCTTTAACGTGCACCCAAGTCTGAGTGCACGGGCCTACAACATTTTCACCTCCATCGGAAATGCAGCCGCCGCAGCCGGGATTTGAACCCACGACCTGCGGGTCAGCAGCCGAGTACCTTAGCTACTAGACCACCGCGGCGGGGCCAACAAGAATATTACCTGAATATCATGTAGTGCAAGGAGTCTCCTTGACGGATCTAATAATGTGTGGCAGAAGCGTGGAATCGCAGCACGTGTCAAAACATGTGAACTGCGCGACGTGTGCGTCGATTGAAGGCCCACCCACCGAGGAGCATTCAGACATATTGATTCATCATCAGCAGCACAACCATTAACAAAGTGAACAGCTGCCTATAGGTTCGCGTGTTGCCCTACGTAGGCGCAGTAGTGGGCCCTTCACTGATTGGCAAATAGAAATATTTATGGCGTAATTGATTTCATTGATTGAAATGTGGGGTTGAACGTCTCCAAATCACCATATTATTATAAGAGACGCCGTAGGTGAAGACTGCGGAAATTTCGACCACCTGGGGTTCTTTAACGTGCACCCAAATCTGAGCACACGGGCCTACAACATATACGCCTCCATCGGGAATGCAACCGCCGCAGCCGAGATTCGAACCCGCGACCTGTGGGTCAGCAGCCGAGTACCTTAGCCACAAGACCACAGCGGCGGGGCTATGTTTATGGCGTAGTGGGATCTTAACAATTGTGTTAGCAATGGGCATTCGATGAGGGCAACTGACTGGATTCCCAGGGAAGGCAAACGTACGAAGGGCAGACAAAGTTACGTGGGCCGATGCGATTAAATAAAGAGTTGGCCGGTATTCCGTGGCAACGGAAAACACAAGACCGGGTTGATTGGTAGATCATGGGAAAGGCCTTTGCCCTGCACTGAGCTGGGCTTAATTGGGCGGGTGATGATGACGATGATGATGATGATGATGATGATGATACTTTGAAACGACCAATGTCACACACACAGTCGTGGTTCCCTTGCGGCATGGTTGAGGCATGCACCGAGAACCAAAGCCGGCTAGCAGTTCAGAAAGCGTGCGCACAATGCCCAATTACGCTATAACGCTCTTCTACTTTTTGCCTTATCTCATGAATCATGCCCGATGCAGGTCCAAGTAGTAGGTGATTTTTTTTCAGTATTTCCTTTAATGTATTACTCCATAAGGTAGAATTGCACGGCGAAGCTCAAGCGTCCTCCAAGTTTCTTTGTCGTACGGTTAAAAACATAATAACGATAATAACAATAACAATAATAATAATAATAATAATAATAATAATAATAATAATAATAATAATAATAATAATAATAATAATAATATTTTTATTATTATTGTATTTGGTTTGAGGCACGAAAGCTACTTCTTGATTATCATTATGGATTCAGGGCTGGTTTTTCCATCGACACTGAGTTGATAGAACATTGCTATGACGCCGTAGCTTTTATAAACTAGGTTTTGTATGTTGGAAGCATATTTTATACTTTTAAAAAGCATTACATACCGTAAGAAATCAAAAAAACATTTCTAATTACGGGCGACGTAAATAAGAATATGATAAGCGAAGACGTGTATGCACTTGATTTTAAAAACCTTGTATCATCATATGGAGCTCAAAATGCCATTTTAGATTCTACCCGTATTACTACCACTAGCTCCACGTCACTGGACGTATGTATAACAAGCCTAAATAGTAGCGATTACACTGCGGGCACAATATGCATTGACCTAAGTGATCAGCTACCTATTTATATTTCTACAGAACGCCTGTTGCATAAAAATAAACGACCAAATGTCTCTGGGCTCAGGTGTATGAATGACGATTTTGTGCTTAAATTTGCTGATTTGATTCAACAGACAGCCTGGTCACCTGTGTATGTACAATGCAATCCAGATAGCGCATATGATACTTTCATAGCTAGCTTCCTAGAGCGCTACAATACTGCTTTTCCAATACAACAAATCAGGACACGAAAGGCTTAGAATAGGAAACCATGGATCAACTGGTGACTTCTTAAAGCGCAGCAAACACAAAAATACGCTTTTTTACAGATTTCTTGCTTCTAGAGAAGTTGATATACTGCGCAAACTCAAGCAATTCCGTAACAAGCTAAATAGTGACACTAGAAAGGCTAAACTTGACTATTACGAAGCCATCTTGTCGCGCATAAAATCAGCATCAGCAAAAATATGGAAGCAAGTAAATATTTAACTGGAAGAACAATGGCATCTTGTACACCTAAGCAAGTAAAAGCTGGTGATATCCTTCTAGAGGGCACAGAATTGGCGAATGCATTCAACCAATACTTTGTAAATGTGGCGCTGAGAGATGAAGAGGCAACGCAAAATAAAAACAAGGCAAACGTTTCCCTGAATTCTCTCGTACTACACGAAGTATTACCAGATGAAGTCTACCTGGTATATAAAAGAACTAAAAACGAACGTTGCAAGTGGTTATGATGACGTAAAGGCAGCTCCAGTTAAGGTCGTCGCATCTGTACTTAGCCATTTATTGGCATATATTATAAATTATTCATTTTGACTGGAAGCTTCCCGAAAAAACTTAAGGTGGCCAAGGTTACACCCATCCATAAAGGTGGCCACACCAGTGACTTAACTAACTATCGTCCGATATCTGTGTTACCTGTATTCTCAAAAATTTATTAGAAATGTATAAATACGCGCCTCATGAAATATCTTCAGAAATATAATGTCTTATCACCGCATCAATATAGATTTCGCAAAAATAGGACCACGGAAGAGGCACTAAATAGCGTAAAAAGTCGCATAATCGGAAACATTGAAGGTAAAATGTACACGCTAGGAGTCTTTCTTGATTTGCGCAAAGCATTTGATTCGGTTGATCATGAAATTTTACTGCTGGAATTAAACCGCTATGGGATTCGTGGAGTAGTCTCCGACTTATTTAAAAGCTATTTATCATCGAGATATCAATTTGTTAGCATAGACAATGAAAAGTCCCAATATTTAAACATAGAAAAAGGAGTTCCTAGGGGCTCTATTTTAGGCCCGGTGCTTTTTTTTGTATATAAATGATATTACAGAGGTTTAGTACACACCCGAAATTAAAATGTTCGCTGACGACACAAGTATAATTTTTACAGGCTGCACCATTCAGGAAGTAAAAGCTTCAACAAATCTATATCTCTCGAAACTCTCAAGCTGGCTAACAAAAGACAAATTGAAATCCTTCGACACAGGCCGCCTCGCGTGATAATAAGTGACCGTGGACCATAATTTACCGCTGATATTGTGGAATCATTACTTCGTTTGTGTGCCTCTAAGTTCCGACACTTAACTGGGTATCATCCACAAACTAACGGCCTCACCGAGCGCACAAACCGAACGTTCATCAACATGTTGTCAATGTACGTCACCTCCAACCACAAA